CCCCAGTAAATTGGCTGCAAAGACTGCCTGCGACTACAGTGGAGGAGCTGCTTGCACGGTCCAACCCCACAGAGCAGGACTTTCTTCAGTGGGGCTTTGGTGCCTGCTGAGGCTGCACCTTGAGTGTGTCTGTCACTCATGCAGGTAATTGGGTTATAATCTGGTGTGGTCTGAAGTGGTCCACCCTGTGCACCAGCTCTGGGCCCTCCCAGGAGGTGCAAGGTCAGCCACCACCTGTGACCCTGCCTGGGTCCACCCAGCATGAGCTACAGTGATCTGCGGATGAGTGCTAGTTTTGCTAGACTTGGAGGTGTCCTGAAGAGGCCAAAATGTGAATTGAGGCTGACTGTTGCAAGTGCTAGCCTTGGGGCCACTTAACAAGATGTACAGGGTGCGCAGAGGCCAGATACTGCTTGTTTGAGAGATTTTAGGAAAGTCCAAAGCGTGAGCCAAGAGATGTCATTTGCATAGAAAAGCCACTGGAGACAGCTCAAGTGGGTCCACAAGTTGGGTGGAGCCGGGTCTCGGGGAATCACCAGGGCAGGGTGACCAGTGTTAGCCAGGCTGATGGAGATGCAGGTAAGGCGCCTGCCTGCCGGCTCGTTGGGAGAAAGGCTCAGCAAAGAAACAGTGAATTCAGTTCCTCCTCTGATGTCCCTGTTGGTTTTTGAGCTGCTGCCTCAGGACTGGAGCTCGGAGCAGGTGAGTCTAAGCCTGTGCATGGGCTTTTTAAGAGGAATGCCTGGGACTCCAGCATCCCTCTGTCTCGCTCAGCCACAATCCCTGGTGGTTTTAACAGCCAGAAGCTATGAGGACTTCTCTTTCTGCCACTGAAACCCTGGGCTGGGGAGCCTGGCTCCTCAGGGGGATCTCCACAGCCAAGATATTTCTCCTGATTTTTAACCACCGTATGTGGGTGTGAGACCAGTCCGTTTCACGCCTCCACCCTTCCTACCAGTCTCAATGTGGTTTCTTCTTTATATCCTCAGTTATAGGACTTCTGTGAAGCTAGATATAGATAATGGTTGTTCTATAACTTAGCTGTAATTTTGATGTGGTTGTGGGAGGTTCCAAGTACCGCATTTACCTGCCCCATCCTCTTGACCAGAATGTTTTTGTTTTCTTTAACAATCTCATTTGGCAAAATATAAATGTCCTCTGTAGGCTCCCCTCAACAATAATATTTCAGTGTCCAGGGTTGTAAAATCTAAGTCTGGACTTTCTAGCTATGCTCTACAGAAAACAGGAATTATACAGAGGGGTTTTTTTGGCAGGAGGAGACCAAGGGGAGTAAGGGCTAGGCTTCAATCAGATCATCTCATCTTCTCTTGTTTTGTGTGTGAAATTTTCTGATACCAATTGAAGGATGGTAGAGAAAGAAAAAGTTATTTGAAAACCACTTCTGTTTGTCTAACCTCCCCTCAAGGTCAGAGAGTAATGTTAAAAACAAAAATTTTAACTTCCGTCACTGAAGGTCTGAAAGTGCTAGCCCAGAAGAAGAGTGGCCTTGAGGCGTGAGGTCAGTCCAAACCACCAGCAGGTGGCTCGGTGGAAAAGACTCACATGTCCACGGTTTTGGAGTTTGTGAGCATTTCTATACATCAAGTGGAGGAAAGGGAAAGAAAGATGTAAGCCTTACGGAAGAATTTACATTAGCTGTAGGCACAGGGGAGGGAGAAGCTGAAGCGGGCCAGCTCTGGAATAGGTGCAGAGTCCGCAAGAAGAAAGCCATTCCCGTTGTTGGGCTGTGGGCAGAAGTCTGGAAAGCTCCATGTAAACAATAAGTGGAGCCTCCTGGACTTTGATGATGCCTGGCTAAAGTAATCTGTAGAAACAGCCACCTGGAAATTAATTCTAAATGCCAACAGACGTAGAAGGAATGTGAGCTGACCTTCAGCCATTAACAGATGAACAATTCTGTCTCTCTTCTCTCTTTGACCTCTGTAATTTAATTTAGAACATCTCAGAATTTTCTCTTTGTCAGTAAAGTATGTAAATTAGATCAGAGGCAATACTGTATCTTAGTTCACTTAACACAGTTAAGAAAAAATAACTGCCTAGAGCAGTAATTTTCAACCTTTTTCATCCCATGGCACACGTAAACTAATTAGTAAAATTATGAGGCACATCAGAAAATATATTTTTTGCCAATCTGACCAAAGTTAGGTATAATTTTGATTCATTCACATCTGATGGCTATTGTGTTGGCTGTTGTAATTTTTGTTGATAATCTAATAGAAAAGAGGCCAGTGCCCCTGACTAAATGGTCAGGTAATTGATTTTTGTTTTTTTTTAATCCTCACTGGAGGATATTTTTTCCATTGCTTTTCAGAGAGAGGGAGAGAGAGATAGAGACAGAGAGAGACACACAGAGACAGAGAGAAACATTGCTGTGAGAGAGAGACATCTCTCTGAGAGAGACACATCGATTGGCTGCCTCCTGCATGTGCCCCACCAGGCCGGGGATCGAGCCTGCAACTGAGGTGCGTGTCCTTGGCTGGAACTGAACCTGGGACCCTTCAGTCTGGGAGCCGATGCTCTAACCCCTGAGCAAAACCAGCTAGGGCAGGTATTACATGTTTCAAAAATTCTTTTTTTGTGTGTGTTTTTTTTTGTTTAAAATTTAAAAATTCTTACAGCACACCAATTGAAAATAGCTGGACTAGTTAGAGAGGGGCAGTGGGAACAGGAGGAAACAGCCAGGGCAGGGGGCAGAGAGGGATGGGCAGTGTTAATGAGACACAAATGGGCTCACGTCACAAGACATGGGCACCAGCTTGTTCTTTCTTAGTCACTCACCTGCCACAAAATAGTGGCTCAAGGCCAAGAACATTGAGGCGACTTGGCCACAAGGTGGCAGCCCTTGAAAAAGTCCTTGCGGATGTTGGTCTGTTCTCTTGCCTTCCCAAGGATAAATCTGAAATCCCAGGAGACCTGTCTCGTGGAATCAATCCATTGTCATTAACAGTTACCCCTGAAAGAGTTGTTTGAGAGCAAACTTTTGATGTCGTTCAAATGGATGAATTGACAGAGTGAATATACCTCTTGGTAGCTGGGTGATTTGGGGCAAGGATCCCTGGGCATCCCCACAGCTGTTACTGCATGATTATGTTTGTCCTAAGACAGAGGGATACAGGAGGTGGCACCTTCTGGGTTTGACAGCCAGATCCTCCTAATCATGGGATCTTGGTCAAGTGCCATCCATACTTGGCAGGCCTCAGCTTTCTCATCTGCCAAATAGGCAGAATGAGGGTAAAGCAGACTTATGAAAATATTTGTATTATGATTATTTCTATTGTAACTTAACAGTCAAGTCTCATAATGAGTAAGAACACACTACATTCACCAGAGTGTTAGTTAAATTCATTGTCAATGTTTCAGTTGCTTCATACACACAGAATGTGCTGAAAGTCGATTCTACAGTGCTTGGCACAAGCCCTGCGAGACGCCAGTACTTGGATGAAAATGTCCCTTGATAAAGAGCTCAGGAGCCCTGCATCTGAGGTTCTTCTCTTAGATGCAGGGACCAGGATGGTGATACTGCCTCAGGCCTCTTCCCTCGGCCACACTGCACACCTTGAGGTTTTCTAGGGGTGCTTTCCTCTCAGGGGCCGTCTAAGCACTCACTCCCTCTATCACACACCAGAGGGTCCAAGCCTTCTTATATGGTTGGCCACTGCATTTGGACAAGGAAGCAGGATCTTCTAGGAGCTGCTCCCCTCACCAGGCAGAACTGTCTAGTCCACACAATTATTGGGAAATACAGCCCAGTTTTCAATCATGTATTAGTTTTCATGTATTAGTTTCACTCTGGGTGTGGGGCTTACCCCCCACGAAGGGCTTTCCTAGCCTGTCGCCCTTGCGTCTTCGGATCTCACCCTTGAACTCGAGTACTACAAGAAGACAAATCACAGCAACAGCAAGTGGCTCCTAGGTGTGTTCTCCATGGTTCACATAGCCACCACTTACATGCATTTTTGGAGGAAATTGGCACTATCTTCCCATTTTCTAGATGAGGAGACTGAGATTCAGGTGAGTGGAGGGACTTGCCCAGGGTGGTGGAGTTGACAGGTTATAAAGCCAGAACTTGAGTCCAACTCTTCTGTCTTCTGTTCTCACACTCTCCCAACTCCATTGCTGCTTCAGAGGATGTTCCCGACACTTGCTAAAACATTTACTAATTCATAATACGTAGTTACTTTGAAATGTATTCTGTGCATTCAGTGAAATGCATGCATTTCTTAACCCATAAGACAACTCCTTCAACAGGCATAATTATCGTCTATACTCTGTAAGGGAGGAAACCAAGGCTGCTAGGCATTTGCTCCAGGCCATAGCGTTAGTGTACAGAGAACACATGCTTCAAATCAGTTCCATGCCTAAGCTTACGGGTTGTTTTTTTTTTAATTAAAATTTTTAATGTTGACATTATTGCAATTGTCCCTCTCTGCCCCCCTTTGCCCACCTCTATCACTTGGCCTTCACCAAGCTATTGTCCCTGTCCATGGAGTACACTCATATGTTCTTTAGCTAATCCCTTCACCTTCTTTATCCAGTCACCCCAACCAAAGTTCCTCGAGCACCTTTATAACTGTTACTTTGAACTCTGTCTGATAAATTACTTGCCTTCATTTCATTTAGCTCTTTTTCTGGAGTTTCCTGCTGTTCTTTCACTTGGGGCTTGTTTCTTTGCCCCCCCAATTCGGCTATCTCCTTATGTTCGTTTATATGTTTTGGTAGGACCGCTATTACTCCCTGTTTCGATGGGGCGAGGCCCACCTGTGCCTGTGGTACTGAATCCAGAGCAGAGCAAGGGAAGGGGCTGGGCACGGGCTGGGCACTGACCAGGGGCCTTGGAGCTGCTGTGCGTCCTCAGGCTGGAGGGGGAAGAGGGGGCTGTGCTTTGGTGGATGGGCCAGACACAGGGACGTGGTTCTGGGACTTCCCTCCCCTTTCTAGCCTTCCCTGGAGAGAGCCGGCAGCTGGAAGCTCTGAGTCTAAACTAACAGTGCTGTTGTTTCCTGCAGCTGACCACAGGAGTGGAGTATCTGGTCACCGTAAAGATTAGCCGCACGAAGTGCAAGAAGAACGGCACAAAAAGTGATTCGTGCCCCCGTCAGAGGGAGGAGAACTTGAAAAAGGTGTGTGGTAGCAGTCACCCCAGAAGCGACGCCTAATCAAAGGGAGGAAAGTGAAAAAATTAAAAGTTAACACACATGGGACACTGGCAGCTTTCACAGCTGTGTGGATGGGGCAGAGTGAGGGCACAGCCCTGGGGCTGCTGAAGCCACCGGAGGCACTGGGGGAGGAGGAAGGCTCTCTAATTGGGCAGTGCCCCCACCCCGGGGCTGGCATAGGCCTGGTCGCTGGCCTCCAGGTCTCCTGGCCCACTCCTGGCCTTCAGGGGAAGCAGCATTTTCTTTCCTTGGGGACATTACTGCAGTCTCGGCTTGCACTCCTCAGGTCCCTGAGGATTGTTGAATTGCCCACCCTTTTCCTGGTTCCTCTTGGTGGCACCACCTGCTGGAAAATATGAGAGTCTCCCTGTGCCTGGGTACACGTGCCCCAGGACTAGGGGAGGAGGAGGGCTTTCCTGACATGCTCTGTTGAGGTCCCAAGTAGCTAGGCAGGGGGACCCCAGGGTGGTACTCCTGTTCTGGGCCTGGAGCCCCTTCTGCCCCCCACCAGATGCCTGTGAGCAGATTCTCCCTGCCCACATTGTCAGTGTGCAGCCTCAGTGATGGCTCCAAGCTTCCCAGTAAGGGTCTCGGGGCAGGAGCTTTGGGCTTGCCTTCAGAAAAGATTTCCCTGAGAGCGGACTGTGTCTTTCTCCTTCCACAGAGTTTCATTTGTGAATTTTTGATGTACACTCTGCCCTGGATGAACCATTACCAGCTTTGGAACAGCTCCTGTCTGGAGGCCTAAATGGGTTTGTGCAAAGATCCTTGGTGAAACCTTAGATGGCCGTGTTGTGCACTTTCTATGATAGACTCTGGAAGGACCCCATCGCCCTCAGCAGGGTCTCACGATACACACACTCACACTCACACCCACTCACACATGTACATACACCTGCACTGACTCACTCACACACGTATGGCACTCACACATACACTCACATAAACCCAAACGTACATGCACACAGACACGCATATTCACTCATGTCCATAAACAGTAGTCTTTAGAGGGCTGGTTCAATTTGAGCAGAAGGTTGTTAGGTATTTGGAGGACTCTCATTATTTTTTCTACTTCAGCTCATATCTCTGAGGATCATCCTGACCTCCGGCCCAAGCTTAAGGGAGCTGTTTCTTCCCAGTACACATACAACTCTGCAACTGACACGTCTTTTTGAGCGTGTCCAAGGCCCCCTTGACCAAGCTCCCAGGATCAGTGATTCACTAGGATTCCCAGGACTCCCATAGAGTCATACTATACTCATGGGTGAAAGGACAGAGAGTGAAATCGGTGGAGGGAGGAAGCAGAGTGGAGGGATGAGCCTGGCAACTGTGTTTAAAATCCCGAATTGCGCTGTTGGGTGGGTGATGCTTAGTCCCCGGGTCCTACTCTTTCCCACTGTGGGGCACACATTTTCCTTGTCAACTCCAGGAGAGGAATCTCTGTGAAGAGAGCTGCTCTGGTCTACTCTTGCTGATGCTGGGGGTAGAAGACCAATTCTAGAATTTGGGATAAGAAAGTGCACTTGCCTATAAAAATAAGGCCCATCTCCCAACTTAGTCCTTACCGGCAACAAAGGCCTCTTGTCTTTTTTAGTTGCTTGCATTATTTCTCCGTGTTTTGCACTTTTGACAAGAAAGGGGACACTCCTAATTGGACTCCTCAGAGATGCCATCATAGGCCGTACTTGCCAATATCTAATGGCTGTCCAATTTAGTAACTTAGAGCTCCTTCCCTCTTCCCTCTCCTTCTTCCCCCTTTTCCCCATTTTGTTTTAAAATCTAAAGAATCCTACTTGATGTGAGGGTGGAGTTGAAGCTCTGCTATCACGCAGGTTATATAGGCTACAAGGCCAGGGATTACTCATATCACCTCATTTGGACCCAAAAACTGCCCTGGCCCAGAAGACCTTCAGATTATATTATTATGAACTAAAGAACTTGGGGGGAAATAGAATCATACACATTAAGAACATTAAGAGGCTGGGCGGTCAGATGTTTATTTTCCATCCTGGGAATCACTGCTCGTTGCAGGAGCCCACAGGCGTGGGCTCCAGGACGCCTAGTCACTGGTGCAATTTTTCTTCAGAATTTTGTACTTTTCAAACCAGGGAACAGCAAACACTGAGTAGAAGCACTCAATTTGCTAAAATAAAAAACCAAAATAAATACTTAGAAAAGATAACATACAAGGTGAAATTTTCAAAGGGGAAAGAAGACGATAGAATACCGGTGGGAGGTAAAATGACACCACCTCGCTTCCAACCCAGATACCGTTGGCTCTTTACTGTGATTTTAATCTCTTGATAGTGTTAGAGCTGAGGTCATCCCAAAAAATCTCCTTCTATGTGTGGTTAAAATTGGAGACTAGAAATAAAGTGTCCAACCCAGATATATGCACCGATTGTTTTTCCTCTTCAGTTTTACTCGTGCATTCTTTACTTCACGCTTTTTCTTACTTGACCTGTACTGGCTTCATCCATCCACCTACCCATCCATCCCCTTGTCCATCTCTATCCACCCTCCTTTCCCTGCATCTAGCCTTCCTTCCTCCCACCCTTCATGTACCCATCCACACACCCATCCATCCACCCACCCATCCATCTCCATCCACCCTCCTTTCCCTCCATCGAGCCTTCCTTCCTCCCACCCTTCATGTACCCATCCATCCACCTGTTCACCACACCCTTCCTCTCCTTCCCTTGTCCCTGTTCTCTCTCAAGGTGTTCCTTTACTTTTTAACCTCCCTCTTCCCCCATAATAAAACAAAATCAATAACTGAATTTTGTATATTATGGTTTTTTAGTGTCATTTTGTTTTCCTGCTCTTCATTGGAAAGTCCAGGCTGGGGGATGAGGGGGGGTGGGAGGTTCACCTATACATTTACATTTTTCCTGAAATAGAAATCAGAATACCAATTCCACCAATTAAATTTGTCACATCAATAAGATCCTCTAATTTTACTTTACTGTTATCTTCAATTACGTTTTTCATAGATTTCATGATCTTCTCCAGGGAAGAACCAAAAAAAAAAAGTCTATTTTGCTAGATTTTGAAGGATTATCTGTGAAGAAAGAGTGGAGGGAGCTCCTGATAACGTTTCTATGATGAGAATACCCAGGCCATTATAACTTGGGTCACCATATAATTTATGAACCGGGACATATTGTAAGCAAATGGGGATGCCCTTAGTGATGACACTAAGAAGCTAGGTGTAAATCAGGACTGTTTCAGGCAGGGCGGGACACATAATCATCCTCATTTTAATTCATCTGGGTAAAGAGAAGTGATTTGCAGGGCTTGTAGGCTTGGAGAACTTTAAGGCCTTTATGTACGTGGGCCCATCCTGACTGGCCCTGCAGCTATGATGACCTTTCCAGCCTCCTTTGAATGTGACAACACTGGGTGGGAATGAAGCATATAGGGGACCAAGCCACTGTCTGGGGAGGTGGCTCCTCAGCAGATCACATGCATACAGGTTTGACCTCCCTTACCCCAACCCACTCCTGCCACCGTTAACCTATCTCTGAACTCATTTTCTTATCTCCTTTCCCATTTTGCCTCCAACGCTGCTGGATGAGGGGAACAGAGGCTGGCAGCCCATTGATTTTGTGTTAACACCAGGCTGATGTTCAGAGCGTCATCAGGGCACCCCAGTGAGGGGCCACTGGCCACTAAAATAATTAACTGTTTCTCTCACTATATAGCTCAGCCACCTAGCTTCCCCTACATCCTTTCAACCTCCCCATTAGTTTTCCAGCAACAAAGGAGCAGTACCTGCCAGGCAGGACCTGGGTCACTCTCGCCTTCACGACGCTGTTGGAGAAAGCTGGTGTTTGTCACCCTGCTTTCTTCTTAAGCAAGCTTAAATAAACCCTCAATAATTCCACCGCACATCATCCTAAAACCACAGGCAGACCGACTCCATTGAAAGTCAGATCATTCTGAGTTAACACGCTTTCACCCAGTACCTTGTAAAGCTCCCCTTCCTGAAAGGTGCAGTTCTGGGCCTCTAGTCTTTCACAGGTGGTTCGCCGCATCTCGAGGTTCACGTGGTACTCCATGTGGTCAGTAACCTGTGGGAAGCAAGTGGCAAGGAGAGAAAGGATTTCTTCTCCTCTGTAGCTTCTGGGGGTGGGAGTGCCACAGCCGGAGGACCTCACCCTGGACAGAGGGGTGGGCCCCTGTCTCCCCTAGCTATCTGACTCCCATGCCTCCTTTTGTCATTCTAAGAGAACTCATAGAAACCATTCTTCGGGCACAGCCACCCATTGGAAACCCCAAGTGATGCCAATTATTCGGGTACAGGACTGCAAACTTTGTCCACAAAGGGCCAGAGAAGAAACATTTAGGCCCTGAGGGTCATATGGCCTCAGCTGCAAGTACTCGACTCAGCAGTTAGAGAGCAAAAGCAGCCCCACGTGACATGACACTCACGGCGCGTGGCTGGGAACCAATGAATCGACTTCCAGAGGCCGTAGCAGGCGGATTTGGCCCTTGGGCCGCAATGTACTGACTCCTGGGGTTGGGCACCATTTAAGTGACTTCACTTGAGCCCCTTACGCTTCTCTTCAAACGCCCACCTCACACTAAATGAGGCTGAATGTCATGCGAATGGACTTGCTCCAAAGTGCCAGCAGTCCCCTGGCACGGGGCACGGGGCACGGGGCACGGGGCACGGGGAAGGGAGCGGGGAGGAGCCCACTGACCTGCTCCTTGGCCTTCAGGACGCGCACGATGCGGAAGCTGTACTTGTCCTTGCTTTCCTTGTTGAACTCACTGGTCACGAACTGCATGGCAGCGACCACATAGCTCTGTGATGCAGCCACTTCTTGGACACTTATGAAGGTTTTCCTCTTTATTTGGTAGGTGAGGGCCACCAGGGCCACCAGAACGGCCAGTAGAAGCTGTGGGGCCAGCCAGGGTCTGGCCATTGCCCCTCAGCTGGGGGGAGTAGGAAGAGCTCCCTCCTCGCCCTGCCAGGGGCCGGCTGGTTCCCACTGACCTGGCTGGCCTGGCGGGATTTAAGCACCCTGCACCCCGTGTGGACGCCCACAGTGGCCCTCCCGCTTCCTCTCCGTCCCCAGCTGAACCTGAGGAGCAGGGGAGATTCTGCAAGGGCTGGCGAGCTCACTCTCACTTCCTCACCTCCCCACACCCGCCTGCATCCGCTCATGCCTTTCACACGTACGCCCGCACTAGCACCCATCTCTCCTCTTTTGGGGGTTGCCCTCTCAGCAATGGCCCCTCCCCTCCTGCTGTCCCTGCGTTATCTGGGTGGGAGCCAGGCCAGGGGCCTGTGTTCCCTGAGCTCCCCCCAGCTAGGGATGTGGGAGGGCGCGGGAGGCCTGGAGCAACAGGAAGCGCTCCAGACACAGGATGCTGGGTCCCAGGGCAGTGGGGCATGAACAGGTGAGCCGGGGACCCTGCCACATCCTCCCTGTCCTCCTGACCTTCCCTCTCATTTTCTCTTATCATCCTTCCCCACTTCTCTGGCTGACCCGGACACAAGGTTTCCCTCTATCCCAAACCTTGGCCTCTCCCTCCGTGTTAATAATTCTTAACTTTGGGGTATGCATGGGCCCCTTGGAGAAGCCGACGTCCCCAGAAAGCAGAGGATGTGCTCTGCACGGGAAGCAGGCTCCACTTGCAGATGTAACCATGCTGTGGATTTATTTTCACTGTCCACTGTCCTCTTGGGTGGACACGGCTGTGCTGTTTGTCCCTGGGACCTTTTACGACGCTCTCAGACAATACACATGGCCTCAGCCCAGTAACGAAGGTGCTTCATGTGGGCAGTAACGTCCCCAGGTTAGCAGAGCTGTGAACCCCCAGAAGCCTGTGTGTGGGAAGGAGTACTCCCCTCCCCCGTCTCACCACCATGGGCTAGAGGACCTTTCTAGTGCTGGTACTAGGGTAAGAAAAAGGGGACCAAAAGGTTCTGTGGGCTCCACCTTCACTGCTCCTTACACTTGGTGGGGATTTAAAGCTGGCTGCTCTGCGGGTCCCTTCCTGGCTTCCCCCGGCCTCCACTGCTGGTTAACCCTCCTCTCGGCTCTCCTGGAAGCTGTTAGTCTCTTCTGACTGCTGTATCATTACCAACACCTTGGCTTGAAACAGCACAGATTTAATATCTCAGCATTCTGGAGATCAGAAGCCCTACAATCAAGGCATTGGCAGGGTTGCATTCCTCCTGGATGCTCTAGGGAAGGGCCCAGTATCTTTTTGTTTTTGTTTTTCCCCCACACGTGTCACAGACCATAGCAAGCTTCGTTTAATCTTCTGTCTCCTATTTCAAAAACCTGTTTAAGATTTTGCTGTCTACCAGGGTTATCGTTTCTTTTCTTTTTTTCCATCTCCATTTATACTCCCATCCCCTCTCCTACCTCCCCCCAGCATCCCTCCCATGCCCCAAACACCACACTGTTGTCCCTGTCAATGAGTTCTCTTTTCTTTTTTGCTCAATTCTGCCATCCCCCAAGCCGCCCACCTCCCCCACCCCTGACAGCGGTCAGCCTGCTCTCTGTCTATGAATCTGTCTATTTTGCTTGTTAGTCCAGTTCATTCATTAGATTTGACGTGAGTGAGGTCGTATGGTACTTGTCTTTCTCTGACTGGTTTACTTCACTTAGCATAATACTTTCCAGGTCCATCCATGCTTCCACAAAGGGTAAAATTTCTTTCTTTTTTACAGCAGAGGAGTATTCCCTTGTGTAAATGTACCACAGCTATTTTATACACTCATCTACTGATGGGCACTTGGGCTGCTTCCAAATCTTGGCAATGGTTAATAACACTGCAATGAACATAGGGGTGCGTGTATTCTTTCAAATCAGTGTTTCGGGTTTCTTCAGATATATTCTCAGAAGTGAAATGGCTCCCTAGATCTCCCTGTGGATATGCTGCTTGTGGAGTTTATTGGATTTTGCTCTGTTGTTGTCTCAAGCTGGCCACTGGGTTTATTGGTTCTAGGCCTCTTGGGAGGGACTCTGATGCAGGCCAATGTCAAATGCTGCCTGTGACTGGCTCTGGGCCACCTGTTTGGTGCTATCTGCAATCCACAGTTTTTGGCTCCTTCTGCTGGGCCTGAGTGTTTGTGGAAATTAGCAAACTATTCACCAAGGCTGGCTTTTACCAGCACCGACCCTGGGGGCAGGTCAGCAAAGGTCTCAAGGCACCCACAGATCTGCCTCTGCCTGCAGGCTGCCTATTAGGCTCAGTCATTGAAAGAGCCTCTGGCTGTACTGCTCAGCAGGGTATAAACTCCGCAGGGTGGGGTGAAAGGGACTCCAGAGGGTGGGGCTATTGCTTTCTATTAGGCCGGTGCCTCATAGAGGGGAATGCTCTACCTGAGAAAGATGGCTCTGTAATATGGGGGAATAACTCAGCACAGGGATCCTTGTGGCTGTACCTTCAGCTTTCTCCCCAGAGCCACCAACCCCAGACTCTCCTCATGCAGCTCTAGTCCACTCTGCCCTCCCTCCTCAGAAATCCAGGGTGAGTGGCTGCACACAAAATTTTATGTGTTGGCCCTTTATGAGGGTGCTTGTGTCTCTAGCTGTCTCTCCCTGGTAGACAGAACCCCTGCTACTTTTCATAGCTGGATATTTGTGGGGGCCTTTTCCCGGCTCTGATGCTCTAGGCTGAGGAGTCCAGCTTGTGGTTTAGACCTCACACTTCTCAAGGTGACCCCTGCCCCCAGCAGAGATATCTTGCTGAACTTTTAACTGCTGCCCATGGGAGCCTGGCCAGTCCTCTCACACCTCTGCACTTCCTATCAGACTCAATGTGGCTTTTCCTGTAAGTCTTTGGTTATAAGCTTCTCTCCAGCTAGTCTGCAGTTGGTTATTCAGAATATTTTTTCTATAACTTAGTTGTAATTCCAGTTTGGTCCTGGGAGGAGGTGAGCGTAGCTTCCATCTAATCCACAACCATCTTGGATCCTCTTTTCCAGCTTCTTGAAGCTGCCGGCACTGCTTGGCCCTTGGCTGCTTCTTTCATCTTCAAAGCCAGCAGTATAGCATCAACTAATCTCTCTCTGACTCTCCCGCCTCTGATGCCCTCTCTGGTGCTTATCCCTCCACAGCCTGGGAACCCCATGATTTCTTTGGGCTGAGGTGTGTGGACCCCATTGGCCTCACCCCCGCCACAGCCCTGTCTCTGTCAGAACAGTCTCAACCCATTTTCGTTGCCTGGCCAGGAGGCAGTGAGGCAGTTAGTACTCGCAGCTCTGGTGGAGGTCAGACATGAGAACACCTTGCTTAAAAGTTTCCTTTGCTCTTTGATTCCTGACTGTTTTATTTTCTCAACATATTTAGGTTCTTTTACCTACTATGAGAAACTTTTCATTTTTCTTTGGCACCTCACTTCGAAATCTGTCTCAATCAAAAATTCCATTTTAGCATTCAGTAATATTGACATCAATGTTGCATTAACTTTAGGGAGGTCATAGATCTCCAAATCACACCCCTTGGCATATGAATTAAGAGCCCCTCTTCTGCACTCAAAGCTACTAAGAATTTGGTCATATTCAGTGCTTTCAAAGAGGTGATCTCTATACACTTGCCTTGATTCCAGGGCCCTATGCTGAGGTCTGATTCCATATTTCTACCTGGTTGCTGCAAATCACTTTGAAAATCCCACTCTGAACTGAAATTCATCAAACCCAGGGCCACCTCCCTGCTTTTAGTCTTCTTACACTACCACTTGGGAGGCCCACATTCTGTTTTTTGAAAGTCCCAAAAATCAGCCACCAAGGCTCACCCAGTCCTCATTTATTGTTTGGCCCACCTCTTGCCATGGACCCTTCATGGTAACATGGACCAATGGGTTTTGGTTAAGAGACACACGTCTATGGGTGCACTTCTCTAAGACACTTATCTCATAAAAAGTCTTATCTTCCTGGCAGTAGGCTCTCTATAACCCACTGGCAGTTGGTTCAAACGGTGAGACTGAAAACAAAAGAGATGGTGATTCCCAGCTGTTAGAAAGGCTTCCTGCTCAACTTTGAACAGAACACTTAGCCTTAAATTTATATGGATCTACCTAATGTGCCTGTGGCCACAGGCTGGAAGTCACTCTGCTGGAAAATGTTATCTGACCATCAGACTTGAGTCTCAGGTCAATTTGACATGGTAAGAAAGTTAGACTTGCTGGTTTCAAAATCTCCTTACACAATTGTCTCCAACTCCAGTGATTTTGTAAGTTTTGCTGCTATAATTAATGAATGTTTCTGTCCTGCTATTGCCTCTTTATGGTTTCCTGTTGTTCAGGTGGATTCATCCATGTGTCCCATAAACACTATTTGTCCCGCCAACAGAACGGCTCCCTGGACTCAGAGCAGATCGACATGGGGAATCAGCCAGGTGGCTACCCAGGGAGCCCAAGCATATCATTGCATTATGCTAAGAGCGAGGAAGTCATATTTATCAGGACTTTTCCCAGAAAAGATGGTCTTCAAACCCTCAAAGATGACTAGTGTTCTTTGGACTTTGATTTGGCTTGGTTTTCCTTTGTGGATCGGGGGACCAACTGGAATGGCTGGGCCACAGAGGAAAAGCTGAGCTCTTAGTCAGGGATTCTCTTTGTCCAACTTCTTTAGAGTATGTGGTCTCCTGTCCAGGTCTCCCGCATCCTTGCCTTAGCTCAGTCTTGGGGCTTCCCCTCTGGTAAATGCACTCTCACTTTCTTCACTCTGTTAACAACCGCTCATTTTCCTGGACTCTGCTCCTGGTCGTCTCCTCCAGGAAGCTTCTGATTGATTGGTCCTCCCTCTGCCCAGGTTGCTAAGGATGCCACTTCATTAGGTAGGCGTACGTCCCTTGAGAGCATGCAAAACTGTCCTCTTTTGGCTTTTTCTATCTGCCTCTGGCACCTGACTTTAAGCCCCTCAGACACAGAAGCCAGGCTGTGTGGGCTCGCGGCTGGCTTCATCATTTATCAGTTAGGTGACTGTGGGCAAGTTACTTAGTTGATGTGCCTCAGTCTTCTTAGCAGGAAAATGGGTGTAAAATAGTTTCTATCTATGCAGCTGTTCTGATAATTAAATGAGATAGCTCAGGCAAAGAGCTTAGAAAGGTGTTCAAGAAATGTCAGCTATTATTGTTATTGTTATTTTTATCATTACCATCATCATCCCTGACACCTAGTGCAGCTCCTGATGTTGAGTGAATGGCTGGCAGTGTTCACACACACATATGCACAAGGATTAAGCCTTGGTTCTCTCTTCTTGCTCTTCCTTTGTGCCCAGTCCCCAGGTGTCATTGGGTCATTCTTCAGAATACCTCTCAGAGATCCCTAGCATGGAAATGCCACATCTCAGGCCTTGTTTAATTTGCGGCTGCATCCCCAGGACCTGGCACAAAGTCATTACTCAAAAAGATATTAAATGAAAGAATGCATGAACGCATAAGTGAATGAATGAATGAATGAATGAATGAGTGAAATCCTTTGCCTCCAACCTGCATACCCACCCTGCACCTCCCAGCCTACTCTTCATTGCTTCCATGTGGCCTCAGGTAATACTCTAGCTCATAATGAGGTCCTCGCTCTGGCCTCTCCTCTGAACACAACAGCCAGCTTTATACCATGGCTGCAGCTTGCTCCCAAGTGTCCTGTGGCTCCCCACAGCCTAGCAAAAAAGACAAACTGTGTTTACACCATCACTTCTGTTAATTCCTTGGCTTAGGCTCTGCCAACATTAATTATATGGGAATTCCCCTTTCCACAAACTCCGCTCATCCTCGCCAAATCCCTCAAATGCATTCATACCAACCTGGGAACAAATATCACAAAGCCTTGCTTCATGGCTTGGAAAGAGGTGGCTCTCCATTGGGGTGACCGAGCCTCCGGATGCGCACACTAACGGGTCAGGCTCCCTCTCCCAACAGAGCCAAGCTCTCGACTGTCAAACATCCTTTAAAAAGTCAAGAGGAGAATAGTTGTCTATCATGTACCCAAATAGTTGCATTTATGTTGCTTTCCTGCGCTTCCAGTATTTCAGGTTAACTTTTGGTCTTGTTTTTGTCCTTTGGAGAATTTCCTTTATAGATGGTCTGCTGGCAATGAACTACCTTAGCTTTTCTTCATGTGATAACATCTTTATATCACAGTCTATATCCCAGGGTCTATGTATTCCAGAAATATAATTTCACTGAATGTGGAATTATGGTTTGGCAGGTCTTCTTCCTTTTTTTAACGGGTTTAATCTTTATTGTTGAAAGTATTACAGATGTCCCCTTTTTTCCCCCCTGTTGGCTCCCTCCACCCCACTCCTGTCCCCACCCCAGCCCTTCCCCACACTATCGTTTGTCCATGGGCTATGCATATGCATATACATTTTTTGATAAATATCTTCCCACCCTCCCCCACCTCATCTTTTTGTAGTAACACGTGATTCTTTGTCAGAAGCAACAACACCTTTTCCTGTTGCTGGGTCACAGTATTGCACTAGGATACACGCATCACTTCAGTGTTTGTCTCCCAGGGCTGGGACAATGCCCTGTCCTGCTGGGCTCATCTCCTCACTGCGCTCATGCATCTCCATGAGCCAAGGGGATTGCTATGTCCCAGTCCTGTTGAGTTTTTAAAATTAAGTTTTATATTAAAAGGATCTTGCCCGGCCAGGCGTGGCTCAGTGGTTGAGCGTCGACCTGGGATCCAGGCGATCGGGGTTCAATTCCTGGTCAGGGCACATGCCCGGGTTGCGGGCTGGGGCCCATCAATGACTCTCTCGTCATTGATGTTTCTGTCTCTCTCTCTCCCTCTCCTTTCCTCTCTCTGAAATCAATAAAGATATATTTAAAATAAATAGATAGATAGATAGATAGATAGATAGATAGATAGATGATAGATAGATAGATAAATGGATCTTAACCTTATAGAAATGTAGTTACAATGCAAAGAACTTTCCTCCTGAAACACTTGAGAGGAAGTTGACAACATGATGCCTCATCACCCCAAAATGTCAGTGAGGAATTCCTGCAAGCAGGCGCACTCTCCTCCCTGACCACAATGCTATCCATGGGACCCCACGCATTAGCATGGAGGCACCCATCCGTCCTGCTCTATCCTCAGACCTCGTCAAGTGGCAAGGGACCGGCCTGCCTCCCCCAGCCTCAGGATAATAGAAGTCCCTCTCCACACTGCCCAGCATGTGCAGGCCTCATGGCAATTAAGTCAGCAGGTGCCTGAGGTCATGTAGAAGATTGAGTCCCAGCCCTGACACTGACCCCTCTCTGACCCTTCTGATGTTCCCTAAGGCTGTGGGCTGCAGCCAAGGTCAGAGGTTGACCTGGTTTTTCAATCAAATCCTCAGGACTCAGGGCTCATCAGTATTGCTAAAAGCTGCCATGACCCTGTCATTCCTGTGCTACCCTGCTGTGAGGGCAAGCAAGGTGGGCTTAAGACCCCCCCACCCAGGCCTTATCAGGCCTGGCCTGGGGCAGGAGGAAGCAGCCCTGGAAATGTGCAGGGAACTGGTCACATGCAATAGATGTCCTTGGGTTCAAGGCTTATGTGACAAGAAGCTGAAAAATGTTCTGCCCTCTGTTTGGTTATGTCAAGGAAGGGAGTGGAGAGGAGGAGCTGCCCAAGGTGCAGGTCAGCCCCCGGATTCTGCAGGCAAGGCTGTGTCAGAGACAGCCCCACAGCAGTTGGCTGACTCCAAGCAGCATGTTCTTAAAGATACCTCTGTTACTGGGGCTCTTTGCACTGGGGTCTCCTGTGTGCGGTAATGAGTTTATAGACATTAGTAAGAGCACGCCGATGTTTGCCATGTGTGTGGAGTATGCCGTGTACCAGTTCAACCGAGTCCAAGTGGACCCGTACGCATACAAGCTGCTGTGGGTGCAGAGAAGCCAGACCAAGGTACCCTTTTTGAGGCTTCATATGGGCCCTAAAACCAGGCCTGGGAGGGGTGAATGCTTGGTCTGCAAAGAAGAGGAAAGGATTTGTTTTGTTTGTTTTTGGTAAATATTTTTAAAAATATGTCTTTATTGATTTCAGAGAGAGAAAGGGAGAGGAAGAGAGAGAGAGAGAAACATCAATGATGAGAGAGTCATTGATCGGCTGCCTCCTGCACGCCCCCTATTGAGGATCGAGCCTGCAACCCGGGCATGTGTCCTGACCGGGAATTGAACTGCGACCTCCTGGATCTTAGGTCAATGGTCAACCACTGAGCCATGCTGGCCGGGCTCGGTAAATATTTTTAAAAATGCAAGGTATCACTACAACTGTTACAACTTTGTTTTGTTTCCTTAATGAATGAAGCCCCCCAAAAACAGGGTAGAGAAGGGTGGATCTGGGAGAAAGGACAGCACTGGTGTGAGAGATCCAACCACAGTGTGAGGAATAGAAGAGCAGCCTCTCCGGGGAGGTGTGGAGAGAAGCAAAAACAGCAGAGATAGACAGGTGACGAGACAGACAAAGAGAGGCGGGAGCTGGAGACAAAAGCCCAAGAAGGAAAGGCAATCCGAGGTGCCTGACTGCAGGTCCCGGCTGGCTCCTGGGAGCCTCGCTGTGCTGATCCGCAGGCAGGATGCTGAGATCTCCCACTCGGAGCCGGCAGGCCTTCACCTCGCAGCCACTGTGCTTCCAGGGCTGGTGGGAGGTGGCAGAGAGGACAGATGGAGACGTGTTCTCATGGGACTGCTATGCTGGTGACAACAGGCAAGCAGGCCTCGGGTTTGTGAGGAAAATAGTGGAAGGTTGAGACAAGAATGGCCAGTGCAGGGACCCAGGGCCCTGGGGAAGCAAGGTAGGTGGGAGAGGTCAGTGAGGGCCTCTCTATGATGGGCACTCTGGGAAGGACCGAGTCACATGCTGGAGGTTTGGGGACAAGAAGGGCAGACAGCCATGAGTGTTCTGGAAATAGCCTAAAAGTATCTGGACCTGTGTCCCAGAGGAGTATTCAGGGGGAGGGGAGGCTGGGGCATCTTCAGAGCCACCAGTGAGGAGTCAGCATATTATTCTGAGTCATGGGGACCCATGGGGAAAGTAACTAACTCAGATGCTTTAGCAACATCTCGCGGGATGCTGTGGGCACAGCGGGCAAGCTGAGACCACGAGGCAGGGATGGCCTCCTGGTCACCAGGAGGTGGAGGAAGTGCTGGCTTCTGGGTCCGCTGTAAGATGGGTGTGGGGTGCACTGATGTGGGCTGTGGGAAAAGCAGTGGGGTCAAGGGTGGACCCAAGGGTTTGCCCTTAAGTGTGTGGGTGGGCAGTGAACTCTATCACTGAAAAGACAATGGAATAAGGTGGAAAATCTAGGCAGAATATATAACATTTAGTATTTCAGACCCAGCTGCGGAAGGTCAGGAAGGCAGTGGGTTACGGGGCTTTGAGGGCAGAAGGAGATTGGGCCAGAAATCCATGTGGGTGTCACAGCATCTGTTATGCGAACCTTCCCACATGTTTCTTCTCCCCACTTCCTGCTTACACTGAATGGAACAGAGTGCTGTCCTCAGGTCATTCTGTCCATGCCCAGATGCTGGTTCCCCATGAACAGCCCTGAGCTGGGCTCCATGTCGGCAAGGCCCCCCACTGACCACACTCTGGAAGAGACGGACAGGAGGGTGGGCCTCACCTGCACGGGGGCACCGGCCTCCCGGGTCTTTCCCATCTCCTGATGTTTGCCTGTTCCTTGTGCTCCACCTGGGGAGGCCACACAGGCCCCTTTGGACACCAACACTACTGGCCCTGCACCAGACCCTGAACCCTGTCCCGGCTCAGGCTATGATGACTGTTCAGAGGGCCTGGGTGTGCGTGAGTGTCTGTGTGTCTGACTGTGTTGCTGTGTGTGCAGCCACGAGCTGGTGTCATGTGTCCGCTGCAGGAATTCCTGAGCCCCAAACGAATCAGCTTTCTTAACAATTCCAGGCCAGCCCACTGAGAGACGTGCTCCTGCCTGCGCTGATTTTGGGCTAGATTTTACTCTGGGTTTGACTGCTTTCTTAGTTTTTATGGACTCCCTTTAAGGAAAGGAAATCATAACTGTTTTTCTTAATTTTTATTTTTAAACTTTTTTCTTATTGATTTTACAGAGGGAGGAAGGAAGAGAGAGAGACAGAGAGAGATACATCGATCGGTTGCCTCACATACCGGGGATCGAACCTGCAACCTAGGTATGTGCCCTGACTTGGAATCGAACCCACAACCTTCCAGTGCCCTGGATGATGCCCCAACCAGCCAGAGCAGAAAATCAGAACGTTTAGAAACTTCTTATAGAAGTCTAATAAACACACAGGCAGCTCCTGATTTGTAACTGTCACCTCAGTGTGCGTCGGCAGGATGAGCCCATTTGTGCAGCTAGTTCCCACAGGAAGCGACAGTGTGCTCCCTGCCCCCCGAGCCCCCAAAGGGCAGAGTGCGGCTCTAATGTGCAGTCAGAGGACAAGCACGCTCGCTCTCCTGATCCCTACCGCAGCCGTCATCCTGTGTGTTCTCCCGGTGGCCGGCTGCGCTCAGGCACAGAACTGCGAGATGGGCCAAGTGTGGGGTGTGGCCGAGCACGTGCAGGCTCATTGCTACGGAGCTTCCCGACCTGTGAACGTGCCCCTGTGGCCATGGCACTGTCGATGTGGTTACCGGGTCTCGGCCAGCAGGAGGAGTGTGGCAGGGAGGTTCCAGGGTGTACTTTGTGTGCACATATGGACATCTGCTTGTAATAGAAATGCAGGGTGTCAAGGACTGAGTGGAATAATACACAAATTGAATAGTAAGGTAAGTACGGAAAGCGCCTGTGTGCACCATTATTTACACGCAGGCAGCTGCCCACCCGCATCCCCTCCCCGCTGTTCTGTTTGGTTGTCTGTGTTTTACTCACTGGTTCACAGTAAGTATTTCAGAGCACTTTCTACAATTTCTGACAGCCATTTACTTGGATATATTCAATGAACTTGAAGATGGGCCGCACAATGTGTGAAAAACATCTTGAAGACATTGACAACTGCCCCTTGCAAGAAGGCTCAGGCAAGAAAAATGTAAGCAAATAAAAACAACCCAAAGCATCATGAACCTTCTGGGAATAAAAAAAAATAGTATCAAAGAAGGCTTCTGAGAGAAGGCTTAAGAAAGTCTTCTGGCACACTTCTGGGGCAGATGAGGGCCCTGGCCCCTCTCCCACTAGGTCTCAGAGACACTTCTGGGGCAGATGAGGGCCCTGGCCCCTCTCCCACTAGGTCTCAGAGACACTTCTGGGGCAGATGAGGGTTCTGGCCCCTCTCCCACCAGGTCTCAGAGACACTTCTGGGGCAGATGAGGGTTCTGGCCCCTCTCCCACCAGGTCTCAGAGACACTTCTGGGGCAGATGAGGGTTCTGGCCCCTCTCCCACCAGGTCTCAGAGACACTTCTGGGGCAGATGAGGGTTCTGGCCCCTCTCCCACCAGGTCTCAGAGACACTTCTGGGGCAGATGAGGGTTCTGGCCCCTCTCCCACCAGGTCTCAGAGACACTTCTGGGGCAGATGAGGGTTCTGGCCCCTCTCCCACCAGGTCTCAGAGACACTTCTGGGGCAGATGAGGGTTCTGGCCCCTCTCCCACCAGGTCTCAGAGACACTTCTGGGGCAGATGAGGGTTCTGGCCCCTCTCCCACCAGGTCTCAGAGACACTTCTGGGGCAGATGAGGGTTCTGGCCCCTCTCCCACCAGGTCTCAGAGACACTTCTGGGGCAGATGAGGGTTCTGGCCCCTCTCCCACCAGGTCTCAGAGACACTTCTGGGGCAGATGAGGGTTCTGGCCCCTCTCCCACCAGGTCTCAGAGACACTTCTGGGGCAGATGAGGGTTCTGGCCCCTCTCCCACCAGGTCTCAGAGACACTTCTGGGGCAGATGAGGGTTCTGGCCCCTCTCCCACCAGGTCTCAGAGACACTTCTGGGGCAGATGAGGGTTCTGGCCCCTCTCCCACCAGGTCTCAGAGACACTTCTGGGGCAGATGAGGGTTCTGGCCCCTCTCCCACCAGGTCTCAGAGACACTTCTGGGGCAGATGAGGGTTCTGGCCCCTCTCCCACCAGGTCTCAGAGACACTTCTGGGGCAGATGAGGGTTCTGGCCCCTCTCCCACTAGGTCTCAGAGACACTTCTGGGGCAGATGAGGGTTCTGGCCCTTCTCCCACCAGGTCCCAGGACTTTCCCTGGAGAGGGAAGGCGGTCATTCTAAGCAGACAGAGCTGCTCCCAGCAGAGCAGTGAGCTGGAACCTGTGCTCCCAGACTGACCAGCTGACCAGAGACACCCTGACAACATCCACCCTGTCTTCCTGCCTGGATGGAGCCCTCCCTGGGTCCCAGCCTACAAGTTTCCTGAAACCTCCGGCTCCAGGCAGATGCTGTTCTCCCTGTGGTCCTCGCTCTTCCTTTGCTCCTGTTTTTCAGGATCCTAGACTGTTTAGTTAGCCTGGTCATCCCACCTCTCCCTCTAGCCCCCTGGGCTGCAAGGACAGGCCTAGCCAGCTCAAGCTCTGTTCATTATCCTATGAGATGACATCTGCTCCGTGGGATCCGGACCTTGGGGTTGGGCTTCAATCAGGGTGATGCTGTCAGTGGGGCTGGTCTTCCCCTTCCACAGCAACCTTGGGGACAGCCTCCCCTTTGGGTGGGTTTGCAGCTTCTGCTGAGTGGGTGCAAATCCACCTGGATCTCTCCTGGGTATTGTGCTCGGGGGCAAGGGGCCATTCATGCAGCATCATGTCACTGGCAGACCTCTCAGAGCCAGGCGCTGGCCCCACCCAGCAGGCATCCTCTCCGGAGCACCTGCGCTCAGGTAGACGGACTCAGGTAACCCCTGCCTATCATCCTGGTGGACCCTTGAGCTTCCTGAGTCCTACTCGGGCCACTGTTTTCGCTTTTCTTTCCTTTTGTAGTTTTGAAGGTATCTTGAGCTCCCATCCAGTCCTTCATGGTAAGTGCCCTCATGTGATCCATCGCTCTGACTTTGCCTTGCATTGACATTTTTCAGGTGGACTGCACTTTTGTTGTGGATGCCCTACCGTGGCTGTCGCAGTGCACCCTCCAATACAGCACCTGCGTGCAGACATAGGTGGGGAAGGACCTCCTGGCTTCTCACGGCAGAAGATTCTTTCCCTCTAGAGAGTGGCAGTGAGTCTGTAGGTGTGTGGAGCACCAGGGCAATAAAAGGCATCACAGAGCACTTTCTGGGTCTCTGTCAGTTTTGTATTTTCCTGTAGTGTTTGGTTTCCAGCCACACTTGGTAGAGAACTTGTCATTATTGCTCTTACCTTGACTGCAGGTGCTGAGCGTTGAGTACATGAAACTCCCCCGGTCACGTGAGACTGCCCTTACTGGTTCTGGCAGAGCCCCACTGGTTGGTTTGTCATTCATTCATTCATTCATTCATTCATTCATTCATTCGTTCATTTTCCCTTTGTCCATTTGTCAATTTACCCATCCATCCCACTGTTTACTCATTTATTCTCCAGTCTCTCCTGGCTCCTCTTTCCACTCATAAGAATGCAGACTAATTTTTGACCTCTGGGCTAAGGTCACAGTGTAGTGGCCTTTTTATAGTGGGTTATGCCCGGGCACAGGGATGGGAGGTGGGTGACTGAAGCCGATTGAAGGCTCTGTGCTCCATGTACACTCATCAGAGCATTTCCACAAAGAGCTGCATGATTGACAAGAACATCCTTCCATGTTATCTGAAAAGCCTATAATATAGCAGCTCCAGTCACTACATTCCCACTTGCTCCCTGATCCCTCCATTTCTCCACCTTGGCCTAGTGTGACATTCATGGCTATCAACAGTAATCACTTCCCCTGGGACAGGCACAGTGGCCACTGACGCCCACCGTCATGAGCAACTCTCTCCTTGGGTCCTGGTGGGAAGCAGCTCTGGAGAGACAGAGAGATGGAAGGCATGGGAGAGTATAGAGCATAAATGGGGACAGACACAGTGGCAATGCCTTTTAGAGGAAAATCTCAGAATGGTGGGCTACTGGAACTTCCCTCACCCCTCCTGGGTTTCTGGGAATTCTGGTTTAATTGGTCCATTGTTGAAAGGCTGGCTTTTTCTGGCCACTACATTCCCATGAAGTAATCAGAAGGGCTAATGATGTAGGATTTCCCTGGACAGTTGCAGACAGCTCCACTGCAGACAGCACCAAGACAGTGGCCTGGGTCAGGGATTTTTTTTGACCAATCTGTGTATAGAGTTTGTAACATCTGCCCACAGTTTTATAGGGGCATATCTAAAGTTACAAGGGCAGGAGTGTGGTCAGAAATGCCAGCATATTGCCCACCCTTGCCTGTGACAGCACTCAGGTTCCTGGCAGTTGAGCCAGTGTTCATGGATGGAGGGCAGCCAGACCTTCCTGAATGCTAGTTGGCATTCCTCACAGGTGGAGTCACCTTCACCTCTGACTCCTATTTTACATCAGAAAGGCCTGGTGTCCTGTTCTTTTTCACTGTATCTCAGTTGTTTCCTACTTTGATTCTTATGAAAACCCCATTGGTTTTATTTTACAAATTTCCTAGAGACCAGGCCACACCCCCATCTCTACCACAGAAGAACTTTTGTGACCCGACATCAGAAATATAGAAAGGCCCCAGGTGACTGGCACTTGTGGCCAAGGTTGTGTAGTGGTTCTCGAAGGAACTTCAATATTTAGAAATTGTGTAAATCGCACTTAGTGTATTTTGTTTGTGGCCTATGTCTTTCCTCTGATTCCCACTCTCACAGAATATGAGATTAAAAATAGTGCCTGACTCCACTGTCATTGAACCCACATTAGTAGTTTCTAAATGATGCATCATTCGCTAAGGTCTGTCAGAACCAGGAGCAAACTGTCCTGTGTCACTGTGTCCTAGAGAGACCTCTCCCGATTCAGTCCAGTCACTAGTTGTGTCACATCAGGAGGGAGTAAAAATATACTTGAAAGCTATAATACGAATACACAATATAAAAATGGACACATTTTAGAAATTCTTGATTTCCACAAAACCCTGAGTGCTTTATGGAATTACCTGGGTTAAAATATTGGAATATATTTGCTGAGACTCCTGAAATTGGGGCTTAACCCAAATCCCAGCACTGGGGTCTTCTGGGGAAGATTCAAAAGCAGAGGGAGGGAGGTGGGGGAGAAATAGGAGACCTGTGCTCCCTACAGGTTGGACGGAGTAAATCTTGAGTGATAGGTTATCAATGTGAATCCTCACCACCAGCCCCCCTTTCCATTTCTATATCAGGAAACTAGCAACTAGTCTCATGGTTCCTGACTGGTTTTCTGAAATTGAGCCCAAGGCCGATTGAATCCAGCACCCTTATCACCAATTTCCCTTTTAACTCTTTGGTTTTCAAACATAAAGATTCATTACTATTTGCAAAGAAACAAAGGCTTAGAAACACTTGTGACTAAGCACTTCTTATTTCCTTTTTGTGATGCCCTCCAACTATCATTTGCAGAACAAAATTACCTGCCACTGAAACTGCTGTTGTTTATCTTCTTTCCTGACCCTCCTTATGAGGTCACATTGTCAGCGGAGGAATACCATCAGTGGACTAAAATCAACAAATCAATGCCTCAAATCATTACATTTGTCAGGATGAGCCCCTCACCCCGTCTCCTACTGCCCCATACTCAAGTGCCCCACAGCACCTGCCTCAATCTATTCCCAGCGCTCCCTAGGCTCTGGACCATCTCTCCTCCCTCTCCTAGTTTCTTCACTGCATCCCACTTTCGGAATCTGCTACTCTTTCCAATGACACCTATTATCTCTGAAATTGCTTACATTTTATGTAGACCCGTCCTATGGCTTACATTCTGTGCATAGCCGTTAGACTAATCTGAAATATTATCCAAATCATGAAAAGCTTCAAATTAATTCTATATTTTTAAAACATAGAATTTCTAGAACAAAGTAAAAAAAAATCAGAAAAAAGACAAGACATGATGGGGCAGAACAAAGGTAAATAATAGAAACAAACCTGAAAGCTATCTAGACAACATGGTTATCAGATATGGACTTTAACATACCCAAGATGAATGGGTTCAAGGAATTCAAAGGTGAATAATACTAGCAAAGAAGTTGAAGCTATCCAAAAGGATAAAAGGAAAGTCCTAGGAATGAAAAACACAATAACTGACATGAATAAAGAGACAGGCATGTTAACCCCAGATTAGAAACAGCTGAAAGGAGAATCAGACAACAGGAAGCAGGACAAAGGAGATGGTGCAGAATGGAAAGTATGAGAAGGTCAATGTGACATCTGCCCCATAGTGGAAGAAACAATGTTTGCAAATGTAAAGCCTGAGTTATATAAAACTAACCAAAGATATCAAGCCATTGTTTTAAACAGTATTACAAGCCCCATGCAGGATAAGAAAAGACACCCACAACTGAACATGAAAGAGTTAAAAATCAAATTTAGGGAGAAAAGTCTTAAAATCAGCCAGGGGTAAAAAGAAGTTTTATTTTCAAATAAGCAAACATCAGGCTTACAGCTGCCCTTGGATAGGAAACAATGAAAGTCAAAATGCATTGTCATGCATTTTCTGTGTGATTCCTTAGCCAGCAAAAATATCTCTCAAAAATGCATATAAAACAGAATGATTTTAAACAAACAATATGGAATGTAATTGTTGCCAGTAGAATTGTTTTAAAATAAATACTAAAGGGAGTTTTTTGGGCAGAAGGAAAATAATCCCATATGGGAAAATAGTATGATAGGAAGAAAGAAACAATATTCAAAAGAATAAATACGTGGATAAATCTAGATTATATATAGACTGTAAAAAATAATTTTTATGAGCATTTTTCAATACTTTTGAGAATTCTTCAAATACACAGTTTTTAAGTCATATAATAGGCTCCTTTTACTTATACTGTAATGCATTTATATATTTAGTAAAGGTAACAATGAAATGTTAACAACTTTTAGCTCTTTTATGTAAGGCTGTGGCAAGCTTCTTTCAATAAAAAAATTATAACCTGGTTTTTATTGTAGCTTTAAGATAAAGTGGTATTACTGGGTCATAGGACATGGATAATTTTAAGGTTTTTAACATGTTTTGTCAATTTGCTTTACAATAAGATGACACAAGTTTACGATCCCATCAGGAATATGTGAGAGAGTATTTAATCATTTTATACATTATGAAAATGTAAATAAAATAAATGGTTTAATTTTTATGGGTCAAAAAGGCCTTTTCAAATAATAAAACTTGGCATAAAAGCTAGAAGCTAATGAAGAAACAGGTGAATACATTTATCTACACAAAAGGTAAAATTCTTTTATGAGACACATTAAAAACAAAAATAAAATATGAATAAATTCCAAAGATGGAAGATAAGTCTGGGAAAAGTCTTGCTGCGTATTTGTAAAAGAAAACATTCATTTCCTCAGTATAAGAAAAGCTCATGCAGCCTGGCCGGTGTGGCTCAGCGGTTGAACACCGACCTAGGATCCTGGAGATCATGGTTCAATTCCCGGTCAGGGCACATGCCTGGGCTGTGGGCTCGATCCCCAGCCGAGGGTGTGCAGGAGGCAGCAGGCAAATGACTCATCACTGATGTTTCCATCTCTCTCTCCCTCTCCCTTCCTCTCTCTGAAATCAATAAAGATATATTTAAAGAAAAGAAAGAAAGAAAGAAAAGTTCATGAAATTAATAAGGACAGACACTAGGAAAAATGGGTGGGACATTAATAGAAAAAGAATAACTGAGTCTATATGGAAACATGTTGAACTTTGACCAATAATATCATTGAAACAGAATTGTTTTTCTATCTAATTATGAAAGAACATCTAGGCTGAAGGCACAGACATGGAGAAGCAAGGATTGTCAAACTGGGGCCTGAGCTGCTGGCTAGCAGGCTGCTGCACAGTTAGCATTCTGAGCCTTGGCTGAGGACCATGCAGGACTGAAACTTGGGTGACTAACAAACATCCTGGTCTCAGTTATTTTTAGCTAAAATGAAGGTAATAATTAATAGGCTGGTCATTGTAAGATTGAAATGATGTGATAGGTTCAAAGCACTCAGCAGGGACTAAAGCACAGTTGACACTTGATAAATGAAGCCCCTATTACTAGTATTAGGTTTCTGAGTCAGAGCTTGCCTCTCTCTCTCTTTGTTTTCTAGTTACAGCGTCACTAACAAATCTTTTTTTTTTTTTTTAACTGAAAATCAGCAAATAATGTATGTCAAAGGCGGAAAATACAGATATTAAGTGGATGTCAGCATTTTTTAACAAAAAAGTTGCTAAATGCGATGTAGTGGTGTTCTAGATCAGATCCTGAAACAAAAGCAGAACATGAATGAAAACCTTGTGAACATTAAATAGAGTCTGTGAGTTACTAGCATGGAGCCGATGTGAATTTCTTCCATGGTGCTATGTCAGATGCTAAAGTAAGGGAAGTTGGGTGAAGGGTTTATGGGAACTCTTTTATACGATCTTTGTAACTTTTCTGTAAGTCCAAAACTGTTTCAAAAAAAAATTTTATTTTAAACAATGGGTTGTATAAAGAACCACCCAAATAAACATTTTAATCAGGCGCCTGCAAGGTGGGCTGCGTTGCCCACTCCCTGGCAGAACGGTGGAGAGAGGTGCTATTGGGCCAGGGGGAGGCCAGAGGCCAGGCTTTAGGAAGCCAGGGTCCTGGCCCAGGTGAGCAGGGAACCTCTGAGGGGCCTCCACTCCGAGGGCAGGAGCAGGAAGAGTTTGCCTGGACTGAAGGTCAGTGGTGGGCAGGTTAGAGATGCCCTCCCTGGGACAGGGTCACAAGTGCTAAATTACATCACAAAGTGTGACTTCCCTGCAGGGGCAGGGACTCAGAGGTGAAGAGAAACCAGAGATCAGGAGGAGTGAAGGAGGCAGCAGAGCAGGATTCAGGCGCAAGCTGAGAGTGCCCGAGACTCAGGAGAACCAGGAGCTGGCACCTGGGTCAGAGCCTGACTCCACAGGAGGAAGGAGCAGCTGGCAGTGGGGCAGGTTGGAAAGTCCACTGAGGGCTGGAGCCAAGAAACCTAGGGGCAGCAACGCTTTACCAGTCACGCCTTATAGGCCTGAGGCACACAAGCAAGAGTGGGTGGTGAGGCTCACAGGGTAGGAGGTGTTGGCACCTCTGGGCTAAGCAGTCTCCCTGGAACTGCAGACCACACCTGGGACAAGGAGGGCGGGTGCCTGGGGGCAGGGACTCCTCCTGGCTTCTCACAGGTGGGTTTCCTTGGAGGACAGGGGTAGCCCTATAGGTGACCCTCACGGCTCTGTCTTGAATCTAGCTGGCTCATGATGCTGTGATGAGATCTTTGAACAGCAGCGACCACCCCACCTCACCTGCAGCTCCTGCCCTGAAAGGACAAAGAGGCCCATCTGCGCCCCTGGATGGAGGGACCATGACAAGACTCTGGGGGTCCTGCCTGTTCCTGCTCACCCTTTTGGTGGCCCTGGTCGCCAGCACAAACTCAGGCAGGGATAATAAGGTCCCGGTGCTAAGGGAATTAAAACTTATCAGTGCCTCGAATTCCAATGTGAAGCAGTGTCTGTGGCATGCCATGCAAGAGTACAATAAACAGAGTGAAGACAAATACATCTTCAAGGCGGTCAAGATAGTGCAAGTCCAGCTGCAGGTAAAGGGGTGCTCTCTCCATATGCATATTTGCATATGGTGGTGCAGACTGGGGCCAGTCTGAAAGGTGGGGCATGCGAGGAAAGCACTGATAGACAAAAATCCTAAATATGTAAGTGCTCAAGCACATAGCATCGGTGCATTTTCTCTAGATGCTTGGACTGTCGGTCTAAGTACTTTACATATATTAACTCGTTTAAGTCCAAAACTACAAATCAAATGTTCATTATTTGTATTTTCTAAGGTTATTGGGAAACAAATTGAGTACCATGGATACTTCACAATGCTGCCACAGGCAGCATTTCAATCTATCCACGTAAAGTGGAACATGGAATTGAAAAGAGACACAGGCCACACTATCTAATTTATAGGCTAAGAAAGTGCCTCCTCCCATATTCTCAATACTTTTAATCCAACCTAGTAATGGAAGTGTAGACTTCATGATTTTCTGTTTGTAGAAATGTGTCCATCCTCATAGGATCACAAATTGCCCAACACAACACTAGGAATTGTTGCTGACTCGGATTCCAGCGTGGGCAATGCCCCCTGGAGTTTCCAGCGTGTGGCCTTGGCACCATATTTGAGAATGTTATGCTGATGGTGCAGCACACTTTATTGACTGGGCACAGGCCACAATCCACCTCGAGGCACACTCTTGTGGCATTTTGAGATGAGGCATGGATCCTAGGTCTTATAACTTTCCTAGTCTCCTTCACAGTTTGTTTTTCCCTTTGGAACCCCAGCAGCATACACATTTAGCAAGTTTCTCCCAAGCCACTTCTATGATAGCCGCTGTAGATGGGCTGTGAGACAGACAGGAATGATCACAGCCCTTTCTTAGGGACCCAGCAGGGCAATTAGAAAGAAAAAAATGCCAAACCAGGAATGAGAGCTGTGATGTTTGTTCCAGTGGCTTGGAACACAGCCAAAATTTAACACAAATTTATCAAGGCTTGAAAGTGGCAGGGAGAAAACGTGATAGAAAAAGTGGAGTCCAGGGAAGCTGGAGCCACGTTGCAGATTCCCCCTTTCATCGCCTGCTGCGATGCTTTAAAACCAGCTGAAAGCACATTTAAGTGAACACCATGAGTAGCCTTCACCTTCCGGGCATTCCATCATTATTGAATTCAGTAAATCCTGAAGCCTCGCTACAAACCTGCTGCTTCCCTCTCTAAACGCCCAACAGAGATCAGAAAAGACAAACTCTCTTGGCATTGCCCCTTAGGGACAGCTGAGGTGGTGGGAAGAGCCTTGGGTGCAAAAGCCTCAAGGGGCATCAGTTTAACCAGATGACAGAACCTG